CACTCATGGCCACCGCAGCCTCGACCTGCTGGGCTCAGGCAATCTTCTACCCTAAGCTTCCAAGTAGCTGGAACTATTTGGAAATCAAAAAATTAACCAGGTGCCACCATGCCAGGCTAATTTTTTTATTTATTGTAGAGATGAGGTCTCACCAAGTGGCGCAGGCTGGTCTTAAACGCGGGGGCTCAAGCAATCCTCTCACCTAGGCCTCCTAAAGTGCTGGAATTATAGGTGTGAGCCACTGCACCCAGCCTTGTTTCTTTTCTTTTTTTTGAGACAGGGTCTTAGTCTATTGCCTAGGTTGGAGTGCAGTGGCAGGATCACAGTTCACTGCAGCCTCAACCTCTTGGGCTCAGGTGATCCTTCTGCCTCAGCCTCCTACGTAGCTGGAACTATAGGTCTGTGCCACTGTGTCTAGCTTATGTTTTTATTTTTGTTGAGATGAGGTCTCACTATGTTGCCTAGGCTAGGAAAGGATGGTTTTCTTTTTTCTTTTTTTTTTTTTTGAAAGCAGGATTTATTGAGAGGACAGAAAAGCTCCCACAGTGGGAGGGACCTGAAGGGGTTGCCCAAGATGGTTTTCTTTTTTTTTTTGAGTTGGAGTCTCACTCTGTCGCCCAGGCTGGAGTGCAGTGGCAGGCTGACGGCCACCCCAGCCTTGACCTGCTGGACTCCAGCGATCCTTGCGCCTCCAAATATATGGAACTACAGGCATGTGCTACTACGCCTGGCTAATTTTTTTATTTATTGTAGAGATGAGGTCTCACCAAGCTGGTCTCGAACCCACGGACTCAGGCAATCCTCTCGCCTCAGCCTTCCAAAGTGCTGGGATTATAGGCGTGAGCCACTGCGCCTGGTCCAGGATGATTTTCAAAGGTGCTCGCTTAGGAAAGCAATTTGCTTAGGAAGCAAACTTCATAGAATAGGCTTCTTTTCCCTGTAGTACATGGTCTTGCTTTTTTGAGGGTTTTCAAGATTTTGTTTTAACTGTTTCTGTTGAGTTGGGAACATGTGTCACAAGTAACCTATTGTGCCTGAGAAGTCATTTAGCGTAATTTTTCTTCTATGAAACACTTATTATTTAAGAGCAAGAGCAGATATTACTGTGGGCTTGCTTTGGCTGTGTTTGAGTAGATTCTTTATAGTTTTTTTTTTTAATTGCTTGGGTACATAATATAAAGAAGTTTTCTAGGGTAGCTGTGCCTCACTACAATATTAGCAGAGTGGAATTCTCCAATTAACTATTTAATACTTTTAGTTTTGGGGGTTTTTTTTGGTTGGAGTCTTACGCCATTGCCCAGGCTGGAGTGCAGTGGCACACTCATGGCCACCCCAGTGTCGACCTGCTGGC